CTGAATAGATTATTGCACGCAAACTTGTTCGATATACGCCATATCGAATGTAATAAAGTGAAATTGAAATCTTTTATAGATTCGCAGCGTACTCTCATCAACCGGAACGAATCTACTAAAATTGGACGAGATACCTGGCTTCCACACTCGATCATAAATCCGGATATCAGCATAAATTCCCTCGACGTCCAACCCAACGGTATATAATCTCGGATAGATAACTCGCTAACGAATCACGTGCTATAAACTTCCAGAGAAATTTAACGCATTTTGTCAAAACGATAAAAAAATCCGCCTCTGTCCAAATATAACCATTACGCAATATTTTTCGCAGTAAATAAAAATTCTTTCTCCTTTCTATCATTATTCCATTATGTTCGATAATTAACCCTTCGTCTACAATCATATTTTTACTCCCTCCATCTGTAACTGTGTTTTTATTGTTCAGCATGTTTTTTTTTAATATTCTACGTTTAAAAAAATTTAGAGTTACTTTTCAACATTTCTATTACATTACAAAAATTGAAATTTGTGCAAAAACTGAAATTTAAGAGCGCAGGTGAAGAGTTAATAATCATTTCTATTTTAAATACGAAATTTATTTAAAAACTCATATAATACAATAACAAATACTATAATCTATTTCTTTCTCTTTCATTTGATTGTTACTGTATGTTCTCGAGCACCGATTGCGTCGAACGTCAGCCATTTCAGGTTGAATTACAAAACACGAAGCCAAGTAAAGCCGACGATAACAGATCGATTCTGTGATCACGAAGAAGTTTCGACTTTGTGATAGCGGTTGGAACGGCGATCGTTCGTATTCGAAAATACAGGGAGAAACGAAGTGGGAGGGGGAGGCACCTATTTTCCGGAAGGTAACGGCGTGCCGAGTCGCAGTTTATTTCAATTATTTAAATCCGTACCCGCGTCGGTTTCACCCTCCTATCGCCCCTTTCTCCCGCCTCTTCACCCCATTCGCGAGATTGGTTTAATTCAGTTCGACGCGCGGTAAGAGAGCGCCACGGAATTTCGTCTACGTGATCAGCCTTCCGCTTCGCTGATCATCCGCACCCACCCCCAATTCCGCGCGAACCGATTTTCCGTAGGATAGTGCGGATGTTCCGTGGATATGGTCGACGTACACCAACCCTCGAACATTCTCCCCTTCTTCTTATTGCTTTCGTCCCATTTTCGGTCATCTCACCCGTTTTCACGACCTTCCAAACGTAGCTATCGTGGGTACCAGTCTTCCTTCTCTATGCACCCTGCTCTATCCTCTTCGTATACTCGCCTTTCCTCCTACGAGTCTCACTCATTCTTCGAATTCATGTTCCACTGTACCGCGTCCCTTGTCCCCGTTTTCGTACGGGTTTTCTACTGTGGGGTTTTCCGGCACAACGTTCACGAATTCGCATGCTTAGTCGCGGCTCACCATCGCGAAATCGAAATTCTTGCCCTTCCGGGCGTAGTCATTGTGCGTGTATGTGTGCGTGTATGTGTGTGTGTATATGTAAGCGAATGAAACCGGCGTTTTGCCTGGCGGAAGCAGAGCACAGAGACATTCGCCGAGAATAAACTGAACGTCGGTTTTGACCGATCAAATCGGACGCTATCTGCGAAGTGCATTGCGAATTCGAATTTTCGTCGCAGACGACGTGAAGGTTTTTTCGATGCCTGCATAATTTCTCAGCAGATGATTTGAATCACTTTCAAATTAATAGAACAAGAACGCCACTAATCATGCAGCACAAAAGCTTGCAGCAATTAAAAAATATTATTATTGTATACACTCTAAATTTCTTGTAGTGAAATGTCACTTCAAAAGAATAAAAATATAACCATCCTTGAAAAAAAGTGAAAATATTTCGCTTCTTGAAAAAGAGTAATACAATTTTCACTCTTTTTAGAGTAAATTTTCATTTTAAAGGAGTGAAATCTCATTCCAAAAAAGTGAAATTTTACTCCTTCAAAATAAAAATTCACTCTAAAATGAGTGAAAATTGTCACTTTTTTTTTCAAGAAGTGGCTGTATTTTCACGTTCTCTACAATAGTTCAGAAACAGTCATTTTGAGGCAAGAAATACAATGAATTATAATAAATCTTAAATTCGTATTCTCTAAATTCTTTGGAGTGAAATCTCACTATCTTGGAGTAAATCTCACAATTTTGAAGTGAATTCATTCCAAAAGAGTGAGATTTACTTCAAAGAATTTGAAGAGTATGTAAAATTTATCATAATTTATGGTAGCGAATGAGTTTATTTTTAAAATTTGAAAATTTTTCCTTATTCTCTAAACTCTTTTAGAGTGAATTCACTCGAAAGAATTCAGAAAGTAAAGAAAAACTTTAAAAATTTAAAAAATAGACTCATCCGCTGCGTAAAAGTTAATATGTGCGCCTCAGGCAACAAGGCAATCGAATATCGTTCATTCTCGGAGCGACCTCGAAGTTTTAGCGAACATTTTATAATGACAGTTCATCTAGGATAATGGAGTAATACAAAACCATCATGCAAAACTGAAAAATGAAACTAAAAAATAATATTTTTTTTACGAAGAAGCGCGATATACGCGAGGGGAATGATATTGAATATGACAAGCTCGAAAAATGCGCAATTGATACGCTAAATAAAAAAAAGAGAGAAAAAAGCGGTAAAACAAATGGAAAATTCAACCCCGGTCGATCCGATATAACTTGATCCGAGCCGAGTCTGAAGTTACAAGTATCGTGTGCACGCTTTCTCTATTTTAATTCTCGGTCGGTGCGCAGCGGTGTTTGCGTGTTCGTTCGATGGCTCCAATCAAATATTTGATTGTAAATATGGTAGCAAACAATCGGGAGATGTTGCGTTACGTACAGGGGGGGGGGTACACTCTTAATTTATCGGGCGATGCCACGCGTGTGAGATATATGTATGTACAATCAGATGATAGTTTCCCATCGACGTCGTGCTAAAAGGATTTTACAGAGGTTGTCGCTACCCTGCGCTGTCGCGTGATTAAAGGAGGGAACGTTCGCACCCTCGGCGAGCGTAATCTCGGATCGATGTTATCCCGGACGACGGCTTCGTGTTCGAAGCGGCGTCGATTATTGTGCTCCCTCCCCCTCCCCCCTCCCCCCTCGACATTCCCGACAGCCCGACCGGTGTTGTGCATTCGGAGTGTACGTGAGCGACATACCTATTACGCTGATCCAAGAAGTCGTCGGGAGTCACGCGATTTACGGCAGGAACAACGTTGAATTAGCCCGCGAATATATCGTAGCATGCCGCTCACGCCGTTTAGGGATTCCTCGATCGACCACTAGACGTGTGTTGCGCTGATTTTGAATAATTAGGAAAGCTGGCTGTCAGGTATTTTTACTTCTTTTTATTTCGGAAGTTTCTTGGAAACAGAAAAATAATAATTAAATTGCTAATAAGAGTTTAATTTTGTTTTAACACTGTTTATTATTAATTATTTTTAGAATATATTTCAGACATTTCGTAAAGAAATTAAAGATATCGGAGGGTACCTTTATTTATTTTCTTTATTTCGGAGTTTTTCTCTCAAGCACAGACAAATAATTGTTAAGTCCAAGTTTGTTTTCACCCCCTTCTTATTAATTTTTAGAATCCTGCAGATATTTTGTAAAGGAATAAAATTGGAATTTAATGAATCCAATTTGGATCGAAGTTCTTCATGAAAGAAATAATAAATGAAGATACGAAGATGTTATACACGTGCTCTAGGTGTAGGGTAAATTTAATTTTTGAACATGAGAGAATTAAGTTCGTCGCTTTTTTTTCGGAGAAAGTGCGACGCAAGGTTAACAAGATGAGAAACGCGATACGAACCGTGAAGAGATGGGTAGAAGCGGTTAATTTAGCGGTAACTAAGGTTGCGCAAGCATGCAGTGGCTGCCAAGCTGTCGCTGAAACGCGAACGGTGTCCGTCGCACACCCCGATCACGTGTACCATTCTCGACTCCCAGCCAGCATCTCGACAAGTTCTGAACTCGGCTTAACAGCCAGGAGTTTTATACCCCGAAACGTAAAACGTATTACAGGAGGGGTTTCGCGGAAGTTCCGTTTGTGCAGCGCAAAGTTCTACCCTTGTTAGCTTGTTCCTTAAGCCGGAAGTACGTAAGCCTTTTTAATGACGGGGACCCACTCAGGAGGTGGGATATTCATGCAGGCGACGTGGTGCGTTTTCGCAAAAGGGATCTTCATTATTTCGCGGGTGCCGCGCGCACCCAGGGAGCGCAGAAATACTACCGCGAACTTACGTGGAACTGCGATTACGTCTCTCGACGTTTCCTGAAACGTGATCGGCAGCTGGCGAAACTGCACTGGCGCCGCTATTAACGACGCTACACGACTGTTCCTCTGATTTATCGTCGAACTTTCTTCGACAACAATAGTCGCTCACACGCACACGTGCGCCCCCGATGTGTTGTTCGTGAAACTTAAAAGTATCAATTCTCTCGGTCGTTACCGATTTCCAGTCCATAACTGTATTCTCTATTCTGAAACCTGTGCTTTTCTTCTTTTCCTCAGAACTTTATTTTACGTTTTCCCGTAAAGTCTTAAGGGGATATGCTAGCATGACGGTAGTTAGCCCGGATCTACAAGAGACTTTTATGTCTTAAATCATAAAAATTGGACGAATCACAATCAATTATTCTCCTCACATTTGACTGTAATTGATCAGTTTCTTATGGCTTAAGACTTAAAACACCCATTGTAGATCTGGACTTACCACGAGTTACAACGCGACTAAAATTTACGAATTGCAGAATGTTTTTACAGAAAATATAAAGTCTAGGGTCGATTTTACAAGAAAATTGACAAAAAATGACAAAATTCACTTATTTTTAGTTCGTATAGCTATCACCTGAGGTTAAAGTTTACTTAATTGGTATAAGTTTTATATTTCATATGAGTAATCCAGTGGACCTCGAATTACTTGAACGAACAATATTGAGTTTGTAGAACTAAAATTGAAAGACTAGAAAAAAATATATTAGCTTGAACGTGTGTATATGTATGTTTACAATTAGTGAAGATTCAGGATGGTAAACAGAAGAGTAATTGTGTCTGGCAGTAGATGTTGGATCTTGCAAGAGATGACGCTGCAATATGTTAGAAAAGGAGATGTGTTCAAGGGAGACAGAACGACAATGTAAGTCGACACAATCATTTTATCTTTTTTGACATTCACCAAGTAACAAAGATAGAAAAATACTTGTGTCGATTAGTGTTAACCAAAGGTGTAATTAAAAAAAAAAATCTGTACTACATCGATCAAGTCCGGCAGTCGCAATAGCACCCTTGAACACAACTAAAAGCACAGGCGATAGGAAAGGATATAGCAGGGAATAGGATATTTTAATCTATCACAAACCTATACTAGAATGTACGGTTTCTATAGGTTGAAATCTGTTATTCCTCGTTTCTATTTCCTGTGCTTTTCGTTGTGTTTAAGGGGATCACTAGCGCGACACACAGCGTTTAACAGTCAACTGTTAAATTCGGTATATCGGAATTCTGCCAGGTGAGCCAGATCGAGAGGTAAAACGCGCGCGATTCCTGGCGCGCAGAGCGCGTTTCGGATTTTTCGAACATAGGGAATAAACGTGCCAAGTATTCCTGTACGAATTGATACTCACGACAGCGGATCGATAAATAATCAATCGGTGACTATCATGCCGGGCGAATCGGTCGAATCGTCGCGTCAAAAACACAGGACGACGGCGGGATGGCTGGCCGATGGCGACAGCTGCCAACAACGCGTGCAATTTTACGTATCGCGAGCATAGCGGTCGACGGGGAGGTACGGCACGGTGTAATATATATTGCAATGTTTTTCGTCATATAAAAAATACACGAACATTGTTCGACGCGATGCGGCAATCTGCGAGAGCGTCAAATCCATCATCGGGCCGTCCGTCCGGATATTACGCGTGACATACTAACGGATATCAAAGAAGTGTCTACGACAAATGTTATCAGACGCGTGCGTGACGTTGATTAATGCGTGAGGAATCCGTGAGGGAGGCGAAAATTTTGATCTGCAAACAAATCTTTCGAAACGAGTGACCATCAACAAACATTTTGTTCAAGTATTAACGAATACTGTTCTTTCGCTCGAATTCACGTGGAAAAATAAAATGCGCGGAAAAAACGATTTCGGAATATCTAAAAATTTTGCTAGAAATAGAAATTTTATTTCCGCTTTGCTGAAAATAATTTTGTTAGGTCATCAAAATAATTAGAACACTCGAGTATAATGAGCGCTTTTGCATAAAATTTTTTCTAACAACCACGTTGTGAGCGTCCTGCATAATTATTTTAATAGTACAACAAAATTATTTTCAGATTTATATCTAGCTAAATTTTTAGATAATACAGTAAATCCAATCTTTTCGTGTACATATATGCCGTCTCATAATTTTTCAAAGGTGAAAAATATCGTTGTAGTCTCACGTGAGGAAAAAAAAGATTTATTTCATTTCAAAAAAGAAGATTTATTTTATTTCAGACAAAATCCAGGATTAACAGCTAAAATTCAGACCGATCTTTCCTTTTTCTTTTCATGTGCTTTTTAAGCTGCTCGGAAAGTGTGCGAGTCAACTGAGTGCCGTTGTAAAATTCAAATTCCACGGGCCATTCTTACCGAGGAGAAAGAGATGGGGGTTCAAAACGACATCACCTGTACACGTCCGAGTGCAGGAAATCCGCTACTCCGCCGACCTGGTGTTCCCAGAACGTGCGTCGACTTCTTCTTTGAGTCTAATTCTCGGTCTACATCATGTGGATCCACTTTCTGTATCGCACAGACCGACCTAGTTATACGTTTTATACATTATATACATTATATACATTCTATATGTTTCAATGATAAACATATATACTCCGAAGCAGCGCGTGACTAGATTGTTTGCCGAATGGATTTCCGCCTATTGACGAGCAGTACATTTTTCAACTGCTATCTTCTGTCTGATATTTTTTCTTCGAAATGTCAACAGGACGTGGAATTTTGCAAAAAAGCAGATCAACTATGTGAGTTTATTAGCTCATAAAAAATGTCTTTGTTTTTGTTGGCCATTTATTACAGTTAAGTTATAGTTAAGTTATAGTTATAGTTTAATAGTTACAGTTTTTTATTTTTTATATTTCTCTGCATTTATGATCCAATGAAAACAATGAAAAGTAATCTCTGCGGTTTGTATTTCTTATTATTTAATGTGTACTTAGATAATATACAGTTTAAATTTGAATTTTACATTTAATATTATAATACTGATGTGTAAGTTACATGAAAAGAATAGGTTTACTGAAGTGTTTAAAATTTAGTCGGAGATCTAAAAATAATTTGGTTGGAGCGTAAAAATAATTATGTAGAATGTTTAAATGTTAATGACAATTAATGCTGCAAAAAACATTTTAACATTTTAGCAAGCAGTTTAAGTGTCTTACATAATTATCTTGATGGCCCAAGCAAAATTATTCTTGGATCTGTTAGTTAAGCAAAATCGTCCTTTCCGTGTATTTAATTAAAATTATTATTTATAATTTATAAATTATAATCTGCTTTGTATTTTTGATTTTGTAGTTACGCTTTTTTCAAATTCCAATTTTGTAACCAACTTTTCTTTCCAATTACATGTCGATAGTTTCGTACATACAAGCTCATATTCTTCCGTTTTTCCTCGAAACTATTTCAGCAGAGAATGGTTATTTTCCGCCCTATTTGGCCCCTCGTTTTCTCCCCTTAGAAACCACTGCAAAGAACGACTAGCCCCAGGCTAAGCGTTATTTTAAAGCGAGTCGGCCGGCCAGTTAGCTGGTAAATACGTGAATGCGGCATGAGTTCAGGAATCTCCCGCGTCGTTCATCCTTTATGAAAATAACGGTCATACACGAATATAATGAGATGACCTGGCGGAAGTGAAAATATGTTCTATTGTCGGAACTATACGTGTGCGCAGCGTATTTTATTGTAAAACTCGATAACAAAGTTTAAGAGAACAAGATTATTATTGAACAAACTGCAAGAGCATGGAAAAGTTTTATAATGATGATAGAGAAACGGCACTCTAATTTCCATAGTTGCGAGAGCAAAAAGGTAGAGAAAAGTACGCTTGAAATAAGAAATTTCAGGTAGTTGCATGATTATACTGTTTTACGTAATTTTCAGCTCTCTCTTGCTCCGCCCTTTATTCCTTTTCTATTAATACCCATTAGTAAAGAACTACGACATTGCTTATTAATTCAGAGAGACTTTTAATTTAGAAATTGTTTAGTTTAATAATCAAGTATCACAAATAGATCGAATTATCCAGAAGCTCGGCAAAGAATCAGTTGCATATAATTTGTTATCTTTCACAGCACGTGAATGACATTAATTATAGTTGTTCCTTACGAGCGAGAATTTTCTTATCTCTTATGGACAGGACAGTTTTTTCTTCGTCGCGAGTCATAACCGGCAACAAAGTTTTCTTAAACGAAAAACGTCGCAATAGCTTGACGTTTTGAAAGATCTTCGCTTATTATCTCGCGTTATATTCCTCTTTAGACTTTAGACTCGTAATTAGCTTGTCCTTCTGACGTAAAATAGCGCTGTTGATTCTCTGTTACTTCCGAGAACAAAGTGGAAATTAAATCCCCCTGTATCTAAGAAAATGGCTTGAAGAGCTCCGCCATTATTTGCGTCAGCGACGATTATTTCGAGGGCAGATACAGGAACACCGATGTGGAGAATAAGGAAAAAGAGGTTTAATAGAATGGTAAATAAATGCGGCTCTAGATATCAGTTCGTCGAGGGAATTCAAGAATTCTTATTTCACTTCTCTGAAACAGTATTCTGTTATTTAATCTCATGTTGTTTTAGCTTAATTATACAAACCGCAAATTTGATCATTACGTGAAAAATACTATTATTCATGAAGCGGAGAAAAAGAGTGATGTACTGTACATGAATTTACATCAGATTCTTGTGAATGAATTTAAATAAATTAATCAACGATAATGATTTCTCGAGTTAATGTTATTCGTTACGTTAGTTACATTCAAAATGTAAGATGTGTACTTTAACTATATCTGATATTGCGTTTATCTACTATCGCGATGTTGTAATATTCATGAGGTCTTTTTTATGGCTGCATTAGACTGCATTAGAATTTTCTTTCTCGTTCTCACCAAATATCAAACATATATTTATCTCACTTTAAGCTTCAAAAGTATTAGTTCAGCCACAGAAAACAGACTTATAATTACAAAAATTTATGTAGACAAATGAGGTGCATTCAAATAAATTACTTCGTATTAATTAATAAGTATTATTTAAAAAACGAATTATAATTATGTACAAGCTAAGACATGAAAGGAAATGCTAATTATTGTAATTGCAGAACAAGTGCTTTGAAAGAGTAAGAAACATAAAATAAGTATATAAGAATTGTAAAACAGGCTGTAAAATTTATTTATTTAGCCGTTTTAACGTATGTGTTTCGTAAGTACGTTAGTAGAATTCCATTAGACGTACACTCTTCGTATAAATAGGAAATCTTCTTACAGCCTGTATTCCTACTTAGACCTAAGTGCAAATGTAATATATATAAGAAGATTTTGTTCGCAACATGAATCATTTTGATTTGGTTTTGAATCTTCTGCATATATTTCGGCATACAATATTTTGACAATTCCATCCAAGTCAGAACGTTGCAAAATTTAAATTATCACAGTAAGTCTACTCTCTTTTATATTTTATCCGCTTATAATTTACGTGTTTATTTTCATTAATTATTATCACTTATTATTATTATTATATACATTATTGGTTCCATTGAAGGTTTCTGTGAATATTTCTTGCAACTCTGTTTTTTTAATACTTGCAATTATAATCTTGACGTTTTTTTTTCTTTCCTTATTTTTTTCTATTATTTTCTTATTTTTTTCTGCATTTTCTATCATACTGTTCAATTTCTATATATTATATTAACTTTTTGCAAGCAATATATTATATGTATATCAAATTTTTGGTTTTTATAATGCCGGCTTTTATAAATCGATGTTTTCAAAATTTCTTCCGCATTCATTACACGATGATTGGTCATATCAAATAAATAAGTGCAATCGTAAACTGATTTTTTATTAAGGATATTTTCAGTCTAAACAATGATTTTTTTATATTAGTACCTTTGTTTTTTTGACGAATCACTTACAAATAAATTATATTAGATAATATAAAATGTATTAAAAAATTTATATTTTTTTCTATCTTCTCTTACTAAATTGAAACATTACTTAATTAAAACAATTATTAAGAGAATATAAAATGGACTGTAAAATATATGTTTCCGTAGAAATAATGAGATAATCATGTACATGTGTATATAGGGTGTTTCTTAAATATATTTCTTATATTTCTAATATTTTAATTGATTTCAAAGTTATTTTACAAAGAAAAATTTATTTCAATATAGTCTCAAAAGTTTCATTTTAAGATGTCCAAAATTTTGTAAAATTATTATTTCTTTCTTGCTGTTTTATGAATGATTTAAATATAATTTGTACTCTCTATAAAAAAATAAGCAATAAATTCTTAAATATTTTCAGAAAATTCATATATATAAATCAAAGTTTTGTGGTATACGTTTTCATATAGCACATTTTTCTTTGATAAAATAAAAATTGTTGATGATATAATGGATGATATGGATATTATAAAATCTACGATTAATAAAACAGAATACCAAGAAAATGCCTTTTATATTGCGGACATTAGTGAAGTCATAAAAAAACATGAGGAATGGCTTGTCAAACTACCCAGAGTTATTCCACACTTTGATATTTAAATACTTCATTTTTACATTTTCAATAATGCAAATTCTTAATACTATTAACTTTATTTTCTATCTTAGCAATTAAAGTTAATTCGAATCCAATGGTACTTAAAGTTCTGGCAGCTTTAAATGCCTGTTTCGATTGTGCATCCGCGGTAAATCCTTAAATCTTTCTTTATTTGTTATTTGATATAAATATTTAAAAATAATTGCGAATATTCCCTCTAATAGCAAGAAATAAAACAAGTAATGCAATATGGAGTGCAAGGTGATCGGATTATTTTCGCGCATCCAACCAAATATTCGTCTCACATAGAATATGTTAGGAAAGTAGGCGTCGAATAAATGACGGTCGATGATGAAAGTGAGCTATTCAAGATCAAGGAATCTTCCTTGAAGCTAAATAAGTAAAATATAATACACTGATTCCATATAGTTAGAAATTTATCAAATGTTTCTGTGCGTCATACGTATACGCTGTGACTCACGCCGGTAATATTGGGAGAAAAATTCAGCGCCGAAGCCGAACGAGGAAACATGTATTTGATACCGCTCACGAAAGATCTCGGTCTGAATTTGCACGGCTTTAGCTTCCATGTCGATAGTCCAGGAGTCCGATGCTTACGCCAGAGGGATCGCATTGTGCAAACAATTAGTTACTGTTTCCAAGGCAATCGGGTACGACAAGGTGCAGTTGATCGACATCGGTGGTAGATTTCCGGGCGAGAGAGGAACGGATATTGACAAGGTATATAGGACTTAATCTCCGATAATTACCATCTTTCTTTTATTAGAAGAGTTTAGTTAGTATAAATTTTTAGTTAGCATAAATTATAAGATATAAAACATTATTCCTATATAAATATAAAAAAATCAGTCAAAATGAGTTCAAGTTTTTGATAATAAAAAATCAACTTTAGAGTTGCAAAGGACTTTTAAGAATAAATAAAATCTTAAAATATATTTTTCTAATTAATAGAGGAAAAGGTGGTAATGTGGACTTTTTTGTATAATCTTTTATTTCTTACTCATATTTTAGTCATTATATCAAAAATGATAATTTATTAATCTGTTATAAGTTAATATAGAACAAATTTAAAATGACTAAAACAATTTACAAAAATGAAAAAAATTATTTAAATGAAAAGAGATACTATGATGTGATTAGCTGAATATGTGATGAAGTATTCCTTCCCGTTATATTTTTACAGAATCTGAATTCTTCAGATCTATTTGAACTTTCTACAAAGTCCA